GCTGGCAGGGTTAATGATTAACCGCGCTTGTAAACCCGCCACATGGTTAATGGCGACTTGGAAGAAATGCTGTTGTGTGACACACGTGTTGGTGCATTTTACAGGTAAAGGACCCAAAGGTTGTTTTTGATCGTTATATAAATGTTCTAGACTTGTTCTAGACGTTAAGCTTGGCTTTGAATTGTTCGTTTGTGATATATGCAATTAGAGGGGTTTTAGCACTGTGCATTGTAAAGGGATGATGCACTGTAATTACCTACTGTCATTGTAATTCTTTAACTCTAATACTGTTTAGTCTATAACCATGCCCATGTACCCAGAGTATGACTACTTGCAATGCTATTGAGAATAGAACACATGTAAATAGCAAGCTGTACAATGGTGATATACAGTACGTATACTGTACACATACAGTACATATGGGTGTAAGACACCGAGATAAGTGGATGGTATAGATAGACATACAGCTTAGGATTAAAGTAATATTCGAATAGTGATGTGCAAATGTGATTGTCAAAGACAAAGATGGTTTATCAGTAGTAGAATTGGGTGTAAGAGAAAACTGTGAATGATTAACCGCGCTTAAAAACCCGCCACATGGTTAATGGCGACTCGGAAGAAATGCTGTGTGTGACACACGTGTTGGTGCATTTTACAGTGTGACAGTGCTGTTCTTCACAAGATTACAGATTAACCACAATAAATGTGCTTGCCCTCGATTTGGAGCACTTGCCCATGTCCTTCATTTCGAGTGTGCAACACATGCCACGTGTTCAGTGTGACGTTTCCTCGAGTAGTGACGCGTCTTGTAGGCCACGGTTTACTCCGGACACGGTGACGGTGGTGCACGTGATGCAATAGCGGCTCAAGGATTGGACTCGAAGTCACAGCAAGTGTATTTTACAAAGCATCGCGTTGGAGGGACCCTATTCCATAGCTGCGGGCGGTTATACATACGATAGACTCGATTATCCACGTGCGGTTGATCCAATTTATCGATTAACCGCGCACCTGAGATTTTGACGTAAATTACTAACCAATGGATTTTCCCTTATGGCCAAATGAATAATGTTAAAACAGTCATACATTCTTATTCTTAGAAATGTATATTACAAGTCATGTGCTGAACATCACTACCACCCACCCCTTAGTGTGCCGTTAAGGCTATACGGGGGGATCTTTAAGTTTATCCGCGAGATTTATGCACATCAAAGGTTGAGGTGCGACCTTGCATCCCGAGCCCACACCACACCACCGTTTCAGTCAATGACACGGTACATACAGGGACAAAACATATACCCACGAAAGGTCAAAACTAACCCCTGTGATAGCTACATTGGTATAAAAAGAGGCTGGCCGCAATAGGTAGAAACCATAAACGATGAAACCACGATATTCAAGCAGGGTCTCCCGTACGGTATTCTAAAGTAATTGAACCGACTTAAGGCACCTCGCACCACTGCAACCACTAGGGGGCATGATCTTACATGTAAATCATCACGTTCACTTATACATACCTGTTACACAAGTGACACCTTTGTCTCTGGCCTCAGCAGCAGCAACATCAGCAGCACTCTCATCCAACACTCTTTATCCTTGTTGAGTGTCGAGTCGATTCTGGTTGAGGCGACCTGCTGATTTTGGTCTACCGCATTTTGATTCCAAAGACCAGACGTTCTATGGGAGCCAGATATTTTTTTGTGGAATTCCTTTCCTCCTTGACGCATGACGGAATATAAAAAGCGTACATTTTTTTTAATAATTGCGCCTTAAACACTCACATGTTTTTATAAAATTATTTACATAATTTTACGTGAAGTGCTTTAAAAAGCCGAGTTTATTAAGATTATTTAGAGGCCAGGCCATTCCAGTCTCAACCTTGAAACACAGTCACCTCACACACAAAATGGCCGCTCTCTGCCAAGATGGCGGACACCTCATGGCCTCATCCATCCGATGGCTTGTCACCAGAATCCACTGTCTCGGCCTCGCTGTGCGCTGCGTTGCACCACTATCCCAGTAGATAACCTCGCATTCAATAAACCTTCAGAGCCAGGGTGAACATCCGACTCCAAAAGTATTTGATTAATTGAATGAGGTAAAACTGATGGAAACACACAGCACAAAATACAGCATCTATTAATACACTTTGGTTCTTTCGGTAAAGTCACGTAGTTAGAAATAAAATAAAAACGAATCACGACGTTTGGATTGCAACATAAGCAATCATCATCTGGTGGGAAAACACAGCAAAAATGTTTTCTTGCTGATGATGATTGCTTGTGTTGCAATCGAAACGTCGTGATTTGTTTTTATTTTATTTATTTCTAACTACGTGACTTTACTGAAAGAACCAAAGAGTATGGATTGCTGCAGTCATGAAAGCTTCAAATCAACATCTGTTAATACTTGGTAATATCAATAAAATGAATGAACACTGCAGCATTATAACATTGTCTTAGATAACATGAAACTCCACAATAGGTCCTAGATGGACCAGTCACCTACATTATCACTGAATAGCTATACAAGAGAATAAGCTACTGTGTTGAATAAGGGCACATCGTGTAATCACCATACTGCAGTCTAAATGTACAGCACTGCACATACCACTGAACTGTGGATGAGATACTTCTTCATCCTTGCTCTCAAGATCGCATTAAAGTTACATGGGTACAAGTCTGACTCGACTTATTCAATTACAAGTAACATTCACAATAATGCAAGTGGCAGGCTTCATTGTTAAGTAGGCCTCATTTATCGTAACAATTTAACGGCATTATAAAGGCATTTTCAGCATTATAACGGCAATCCTAACATTATAAGAGCATTCCCAGTATTATAAGAACATAAACGAACTTGCAGACAATGCTTCTTAAAGTTCCACAATGAACAGATGCACCTGTCTTCACTGAGACACTATTTGTGCCTCCATTTTGTGGCCTGTGTCATAGCTGACACCCTGCCTCATGGCTTAAGAGAATATGAAATTGTAATTTCCTGGTCACGTGACCAAACTCAACACCATATCAGGAAATTCCTGTGTACGCACACCCCCACACCTGCCGTGAGGCAGAACATCCACTTCTGGAGGCTATGACTCATCACCGTTTAGTACATTTTTCTCTGTATTTGCAGGATTTCTACCGACTTCCAGGAGAGAGCCCCCCCCCCCCCTTCCCCCACATTGGACAGTCTGGACTGATGCATTAGTTTGTTATCCTTCCAGCGTACCTTCGATTAGCACGGTTGGCTATGTACGGCGTGAAAGAGTTCCAAATACACACACATCAGGGCCATATGATCCAGGGGACAGGATAGGCTGGACCCCACAAACTTCTTCTCTTGGTTGTCACTCCCGTTACTATTTTTGGTTCCAGGAGCTTTGAGTACTTGATTGGACCTCTAGTGATTTTGGTCCACCTGTTTTCATCCAGTGTCGCCAAGTGAACAGCACGATGAGGTCTAAGCAGTGTGCACATTTGTACTTCGATGTTAATAGTGGGGTACAATATGTTTTAGTATATAGCAGCCTCTCAATTATCCACGTGCGGTTTATCCGATTTGTGGATTAACCGCGCACCTGAGATTTTTACGTAAATTACTCATGGATTTCCCTAAAGCCCAAATTAATTATCTAAAAAGTTATAAAGTTGTTCTTGGAAATATGTATTACAAGGAGAGTGCTTAAACCGTAATCCACGTGATCACCTAAACAGTACAGAAGTTGCATATATTTAGAACAATGGGCGGATTTTTGATTGATTTTGATTGTCAGGGCTCTGCTGTCCACTTAGCAGAGTCTTCTGCGCGGGAGCAAGAAAGTGTTATCACTGAGCATGTGCATCAATCAGTCGATCGTTCGTTTTTGGCATGGAGATTCGCGGAAAATGGATATTTTCGGATTATCCATAGTTTTGAATTATCCGTGGCTGTCCTCCCCATCATTATCGTGAATAATCGAGAGTCTACTGTGTATATATTTACATAGGAAAACATCACCGATTCTCAGGAATTGAGATGTCTGTCAACATTTTTGTTGTTTTCATAGAGTGCGCGGAGACCGGAGTGTCTGTATTAAACCCATCACATGAAAGGGCGCAATGCTAAACTTTGCACGCAGATATATATGTAACCTATTTGCTATACTGTTATATGCCGGTAATTTAGCACTCCTCCCAATACTTACAAGGCTCAGAACATGATCGCATTGTGATCCAAAACATTATTGCACGTGTGTATGTATGTCTGTGTGTGTATGTGTGTGGACTTGCTGATGACTGGTACCAGCGGTGTCAAGATCGGCCTCTGTGGAGGAGGCTCGTGAAGGATGCTACTGGGCAGTTGGAGGCAGTCGCCCTCCAACAACAACGGAGGACGGAGGAGCGACGCTCAGAACAACGAGCGGAGCGCCGGGTGGCTAAAGCACAGCAGGTTGGCACAGTAGGGGACACAGGTGGTGCATCAGCTAGTCAGCTCAGTCAGTCGACCCGTGGCACCTGGGTTTGCCCCGTGACCTCCTGCCAGCGGGTGTTCGACACTTCACGTGGCCTCAGGGTGCACATGCCTGGCACAAGCGTCGTGGTGACGTCTCCGCCACTTAGTGGCGAATGGCGGTTGTTGTTGTATGTGTGTGTGCTCGCTAACAGCACTTGCCCCTACAATCTGTTAAGGTTATACGGGGGATCTATTTTTTGTGTGTGTGGGGAGCAGCAGTGCAGCAGGTTAGTGCGTTGCTTCACTAATAATTTGGCGATTTGAGTTCGATTTTTGATCACGACCAACACCAGTGATAGCGATTATCTGCACCGGTCATGGGCCTCCCCTAGATCGACTCAGCCTTAAATGAGTATCTGGTGTGGTTTGTAAACATGACCACTGGGGAGACAAAGACAGCCGGGCCTGGTGTTGGCCACCTACCCCCTCGTGTGCCGTGCCTTGCCGGCCTTCATAGATGCTACTCCCTAACAGCACTTGCACCAACAGTCTATGTCTATATGGGGCGGGGGGGGGGGGTCTTTGTGTGTCGCCATGGCCGGAAAAAATGTAACTGCCGATTGTACTCCGTGCTCTTGAGTTTTGAATTCCATGTAATGCATGCCGTCGTTGTGTTCCCGAAGTGCTCAGTTTCAAGCGTTCGCGTACGTGGGGTGATTTAATTTGCCATAGGCGTTCTCTGCATGCGGCTTCAGAGGCTGCAAAATAAAACAACACATGCATTCTCATTTAGAATCAAATGTGCGTGAAGGTGTGCCTATTGGTCTCGATTGGTGGGGCCCCTGAGCCCGAAGCTACAGAGGTCATGTTTCTGATTAAATGCTCACGTGGAGAAGTTCCGGATTATAGTGGTACACGTCGTCGATGATTCTCATTGACCAACAGGCGCAAGTTTCTGTGGTCCCGCCATAGCAATGTGGAATTGGCACCACTTGATTCAGGGCCCGCAATGGAAATGAGCACTAAGCCATGCTTTGTCTAAGCGGGGAGACGCTTTGACAGTTGACTTCGACGTTTTTTTCAACAGTGCATAGACGATAATTAATATTTCTTAAAGTCATCCTTATTTATCATTTCACTTGGTGTGTGAAGCTTACCTCGTAGTGACTGGCCTCTTGGTTAGGTGGGCTCTGCAATAGGATATTTTGTGGAAAGCACACGATTAGGCATTGGATTCTGCTGCAATATTTTTTGGAGCAGAAATTACTTTAAAATCAAATGTTATCAATGCAGTAGCATTATTGTGTCCGTGTGGTGCTGCAATAGTCCACATTGCACAGCAATTATATTTTGCCTTGATTAAAACCGCATCTTCGCAATATATTAAAAGCGTCGTCTGAACGTATTATGGACCTCCCCTAGGTCAACTCAGACTTAAAAAAAATTATCCTGATTAAATAATTTGTGAGACAAAGGAAGCTGCATTGGCCACTCCATCCTATAGACCTTCACAGGTGCTCACATCACTTTTGCTGTCAGTCTATGCCAGCTGATTGGAGATTGGTTTATCTCCAGCACAGCTTGTAAGACAGTTGGTAGACATATCAAGGTTAAAAGGTCACACTGATATAAAACATCGAGAAGTTAACATTGATGCCACCACTCTCTGCCATCGATGCTCTGTCTCTGCTAAATATATCAGCTGTTTGCGCAGTTAACACTTAACCTGCAAGGTCTGCTCTGAGTGCGTCTTGGCATCTACCCAGTTTTCTGGCTCCTGGATGCCACTCCAATGCCCGTCTCAAAAACCTGCCCACCCCACCATCCTGCACATGCGCCCCCCACGAATCGCAATCTCCTTGAGTGTCTAAAAACACTTCCCCCACTTCCCCGAATATAAACTTACAACCTGTATATCCTATCCTGTCATTAAATTATTGGTATGTTATGCACGCACACAAACTCAAAAACCCGAACACTTTTGTCACAGTGACCAGAGAATAGAACACATTAGAATTCATGAGGTCTTTAGTAAGAGAAAAGGGATGAATTAAGCGTTGTTAGATGTGTAACCAGGTAGTTTCTCAAAGACATTTGAAATTTCTGATTGTATTAATATTGATAAAACTCCTCTACCCGAGCTATAAGTGTTCTGATACTTGCATTGTCTTTGTACTGTTCGCCTTTTGGCGTTCTCTTGTCTCACACTGGTGGCGAGACAAGGCCACAAAGAAGGCTGTCTCTGGTGTAGGCCAATCAGTTTGAAATACATTGCATATATTATCAAAGCATGTTTGTTTGCATATTTTTCCACAAAGTACGTGTGGTTAATGGAGACTTGGTCTTGATGCCTTGCAAAATATATCTATTTGGTCTTTGAATATCTTAACACAACTCCTCTTTATTTTACAGAAAGGGTATAACTTATTATAATTATTATAATTTTTCATCATTTCTGATTATATTCACTGTGTTGGTAGAGGCAGAACTCCGATTTAATCCACCCACCGTTTCAGTAGAATTCATTATTCTCTCATCCAGATGTTGCATGCGGTTCCTGAAAAGAGTGAAGTTTTTGTTTGTAAGCGATAATTATTTTTTAAAAGTGAAACTATGAGTCATTTGAATAGTCATGTTTGTCCGTCTTCCACAGTGGGGGTGTGCTTCCAACATTATCAGGCGGTCCTGGGCCGATCCGACAAAACCGGCAAAACCGCTACAAAGGCTGTAACCAGTCAGGCGAAAGGCTATGCGTGTGTGGCAAAAAAGTAGCTATGCTCGATTTCAGTGTCAAATATTATATACGGTACATTATACACTACATACAAATTAAACAATGAAAATACTGCACGTATATACATCACCCCGTGCAGAGATTGCAGTATATACAGTAACCTTTAAAAGGATAATTATTTTTGTCTATTTCTATGTTTTTTTGTGCCAATTTCACATAGTAACCAAATTAAAACACTACAAAAATATATAACAACACAGAAAAACATAATGTCATCTAAGAATGTTCAAAAGTAAGCTATTTTTATTAATGATGTAGTGATTATCCCGCGTTTTTCTTTAATGTTGCATGGAAGGCAGGTACAATACATCTGGATTGGTAAACTTGGGTTGTGATTCCAATTTTTAAGAAAGGGGACCAAAGGGTGTGCTCCAACTACAGAGGGATCACGCTCTTCAGCCTCACAGGTAAAGCCTACGCCAGTGTCCTGTAGAGGAGGCTCCTCCCAGTGGTTGAGCCTCAGATTCAGGAGGAACAATGCGGATTCCATCATGATCGTGGAACAATGGACCCACTCTTTTTCATCTCACATATTTCAGAGGTCATGGGAGTATGCTTCTTCAGTCTACCTCTGCTTTGTAGACTTGGAGAAGGCATAGGACCGTGTTCCCCGCAATGTCTTGTGGGGGGTGCTGCAGGAGTATGATGTACCGTTGCCGATTTTGTGTGCTATCCGATCCCTCTATTCCCAGAGTGAGAGCTGGGTCCGTATTCTTGGTGTTAAATCAAAGTCGTTCACTGTGGGTGTTGGACTCCGCCAAGGGTGGGTCTTGTCTCCACTCCTGTTTGTGATTTTCATGGACAGGATATCAAAGGTGCAGCCGAGGTATGGAGAGAGTATCCAGTACGGTGGCATGCAGGTGGCATCGCTGCTTTTTGCAGATGACGTCCTCTTTTCCTTGTCAGTCTGTGATCTCCAGTGTGCACTTGAATGGTTTTATGCAGAGTGTGAAGCGGCTGGGATGAGGATCAACACCTCCAAATCCGAGGTCATGGTTCACTCCCAGAGATCGCAGGTACAAGGGGCCAAAATGAGGTTTCTCCACAAGGTTCTGGGCTCACTCTCCATGATCAGGTGAGGAGCTCGGTAATCCAACATAGCCTCAGAGTCGAGCCACTGCTCCCCCTGGAACTCTACCAGGCAGCACATCCCACTAGGAGAAGATCCTAGGACTGGCCCAGGACACGCTGGTGGGACTATGTCGCTCGGCTGGCATGGGAACGCCTGACAATTGGAAGAGCTAGAGGCCCTCGCCAGGGATAAGGAGGTCTTGATCGCCTTGCTCAACATGCTGCCGCCGCGACCCTCACCAGGGCAAGCGGATTGAGAAATGAACAATGTCAAGCAATAATAATCATATCACCAAATGCTTATATATGGAAACAGGTTAATGCTTCATTATCCTACTGCTTTGGCCAATTTTTCAAATTTAAACTTAGTCGTGGACATGGTCGGCTCTGAGAGATCAGCACTTGGCATTTGGTGCCGATGGAGAGATGGTGTCACGGTGGTGAGATGTTTACTCCTTCGCCTGGTATGCAGGTCGTGGATTCGACCTGATCCTGACACCTATATATTTGGAGTTTGAATGTCTGTCTCCCCATGGATACGTGGACTTTTTTCTGGGTGCTCAGGTTTTTCCCTTCACATTTAGAAACACATTTAGAGTTATTTGGCTACTAAACATTTCCACACGATAAGCCACTCCATTGAGCTGTCATTTGTGGTGGCCAAGTCGCTTCTGAAAAAGATCTATATAGCTCAGTGAGTCTTACTTGGTAAAATAAAAATAGTTTGGTATAGTTTGTTTGCTTGGTAAACCATTATTCATAGAAGAGACACCTATTTAACAGGTTCTGTTGGTTCGTCTTGTGCATCGTTCCCTCGACATGATACGTGAGTCTTTGGCTTCGTTTTTTTTACCCCTACGCCACGCGTCACTGCGTTGCCAAGTGTTAGCAATGGCTCGTGGGGTTGCCAAACGTCAAGAGGTGCAACAGATTGTCAATGGACATTTGCTGGGGCGTTTGCTCCTTTTGCCCTCTTCCCGTTCAGGTGAACCACGTGCAGGTTATGGTAATTGAACTCTGGTGGGGGTTGCAGTCATACGCACACAATAAAAAAAGCAATGATAATACATTTTGGAACGAGCAAGTACGTAATTTGCATAGCTGCTGCTGACAGATTAGCCAATGGGGAAGTTATATGGCAGTGGTTAGTGGTGAAAACCATGAACCGTATTTAACTGAGAAACAGAGATTGAGAATGGTGTCACACTGATAGACTGTGTTGAACTCTGAAACTTCTTTCAATAATTCTCAGTCGGAGTGACGTTCCTCCAGAATTATTTCCGAATTTACAAACATTTTGACACAGGAAACTCACGTGACAGGACTGCCTTTCTTGCGGAAGAAGTAAATGGCTCCGACCACGGCCACCAACGCCATCAGTGGCACTACGATGGCAACAGCTATGATACAGGGCTCATTGCCATCTGTAAGACAACAACAACAACAACAAATGCTTTTCATCATCACAACACTTGTGCCATGCTAGTTGCATGGCGCCCCTGCCATAGGAATGTGTTATTTCGACCACTGGCTCTGCAGGGTTGGAACTTGGAGATGCACACCTCATTTTTGCACCTCTCAATGCTCATTTGAGCAGCAGGAGATCACTTGGACTTGGTGATTTGTAATCTGCCTCAGCACATCACAGGATCTAATGACGCAAATGCATTTTCTGAGTGTGTGTCTTCAAGCTGACCCGGTCATGTTGTCTCATCACAGCCTCTTGTGGTATCTCGTGGTCGCTCAATCTATCTCCGACGAAAATAAAATAGACCACTTCATTGAAGATTAATGTTCTTACTAACCTCGTTAATGAAATAAACACCGCTTACTGATTGAATTCACCACCTCATTCCCTAAAGTTTTTATGAATATGCAGATGTAGGTGCCACTGTCTGAGGCACACGTTGATTGAGATCGAAATATCGTTACTGTCATGGGCAGCAATCACCAGATAAAATAACATCAGCGTACATAACATGGTTGACCAATAAGGAGCCATCCCTCTACCGTACCTGGGCATCGATCAGCCTCCCATTGTATCTGTACCAGATGGAGATTCCTCTGGTACTGCCATGGAGTGCTTCTCAAACTATTTGGTCGAAAAAGTCGTTATATAATGTAGGCACCAGAGAACATCCCAGTCACACCCCAAGGTGAACAGGAAATGGCTCTGACTACCGGTCAGGTAGTTTTTACTCGGGCCTTCCCACCATTATGAAAGTCTTCGTTGGTTCTTTCGGTAAAGTCACGTAGAATGAGAATAAAGTAATAAAATAAAGCAATATTCTCATTCTACGTGACTTTACCGAAAGAACCAAAGAAGATGAATCCTTGCAGTCACGAAAGTTTTAAATCGAAATTATGAAAGTCCTTAATGATTGTGAGCAGACAGTCAGCGACTCTGAAACCATGAAAAATAACCCAGAGCCCAGGCCAATTCATGGTATCATAGGCCTTGACCAGGTAAATAAAGCAGAGATATAAGTCCTGTTGCAATTCTCTTCATCTCTGAAGTAGCAGACGGACAGAAAATATGGCATCTGCGCATCACCACGCTCGCCTGAAACCATATTGGGGCTTTGCAAGCCTCTCCTCAGTGTGCCTGGTAAGGCAATGTTGAATGATCCTTACCAGGACCTTTCCTGACACACTGAGGAGGGAGATGCCTCTGTAGTTCTTACAGTCTGTGCGGTCCCCCTTCTTAAAGAAGGGGACCACCAGGGCATCCTTCCAATTCTGCAGAACCCATCCAGTGGTCCAGTCTGATATTATGATTTCATATAGGGCAGTCTGCACACAAACACCACTCTCCTTAAGCAGTTCACTTGGGAGACCTTATCTGCCTGGCGCTTTTCTTGGTCTGAGACTGGATCGCCTTCCGTACTTCCTCAACAGATGGCACTTCAACCAGCCAATCACAGGGGTTGACTACTTATTCCAATATTTGAGACACCACAGTGTCAGCAGGGTCATCTCCATGTTTCCCCATTATGTTTCTGAGTTGAGGGATTTTCCCTCCCCCAATATTTCACACTAATGCTCAGCAAACCTACAAACCTGTTCGTAGGGGTTGGAGATCGGATCACTTTTCTTTCCTCGAAGTATGGTGATAGGTGTGGCGCTGCAGGTTACTTTTTTCATGGAATTAAAGAGTGATTTGTGATTGCATTGCTACAAAGGCAGATTTGATCTCCTCAGCAACCCACGACCACCACTCATCCTTGAAGCGCAACAATGCTCTCTGAACCTCCGAGTAAAGGCTGTGGTAAGCCTCCTCATTCTCCGACGTAGGATGCTGTAGATGGTGGGAGTGGGCCTGTCGCTTTTCTCAGTCAGTCAGAACACCTCCTCCATCAGCCAGGGTCTCTGGGGAGGTTTGGACCGCATACCCAATGCAGTCTTTGAAGCTGCATGAGCCACAATCCTAAACCTTGTCCATTTCCTCTCGGCATCAGGAGGAGAGAGGGACGATGGCAATCCCAGCTGCAAACGATGATGAAATTCTCGCTTGCTGAAGATCACTCAGATCCAAGCAGTGGATTGACAACGTTATTTCCAAATTAAATCAAATTTAAATCGAATCAACCAATCCCTGAATGTCCGCCACTCGCCAAGTGAACGAATGCCCAGTTACCCGGCGGTGGCGTGGGCTGACCTTGCGCGTGGGTGATGTTGACTTCGATCTCGCCAGCGTCCGAGCCCATGTAGTTCACAGCAATGCACTGGTAAATCCCGGAGTTACTCACAGCACGATCTAGAGTCAGCGTGTTGTGGCCAGAGCCATTCATATGTGTACCATTCCTGCAAAACACAACAACACAACAGAAGCGATAACATCAGAAACACATTTTTGTAACATTACGCCCAATTCCCCTCCCCACACAGTTGTATATCGATTTTGCGTGTATATATGTTGAATGTCTGTTGTTACGTATGTTATGTATGTTTGTTGTACGTATCTTGTTACATATATTATGTATGTTGCATGTTACATAGGTTATGTATGTTTTATATGTAATGTATGTTAAGTTTGTTATGTATGTGTGTTGTATGTATGTATGTTGTATTATATGTTATTTATGTATGTCGGTATGTATTTTACATATATATGAATGTTACATATATTATGTATTTTCAGTATGTTATGTATGTTGTATGTATGTTGCTACATATGTCATGCATACATGTTGTATGTATGTTACGTATGTTTTGTATGCACGTTGAACTTCTTTCCCACGGTACGTAGCCAACCGTGGCTAAATCGGAGGTGCGGGGGTGGTGGGCAAAGGAGGACAACAAACTCCGACATCGTGGCGTGAGATGAAGAAGCCATTCGCAAATCTCATAGAGCAGTGCCAGCACCCCCCCCCCCCCATCGCGTGAGAGAACGATCCGCGGAAGCGGACGTCGGAGAGCTACCTCCGAGATGCCCTTCGAGCGACCTCTGGGCGCTCACACAGTCAGGGGCGCAGCAGCACTTCCCCCAGCCGCCGTGCCACTTGGGAGCAACGTTCGTAGCACGTGACGGTGGAACAGACACATTATTTTGATTCTCAGGAGCTGGAATTTATCCAAATCAAATTTCACAACCATTTCTTTTAATAATAATACAAGTTATTTTTGGGTTAGATCGCGTAGGTACAAATGTGTCGTGAAACCCGCCACCACCCAACACTGCCAATTTAGTAAGGGTTTTTCACATAAACGAAACAGTTACTAGTTCAGCACTAACCGTTTGCATTTTAGAGACCTAAACCCACAACAAAATTTAACAATTCGAGTAGACCTTGACGTTTCGTGTTCAATTGTTTTTTTAAACGTTATATTATTTGGTGCGGTCATCGCTGAACGGGGCTGAGATCGTCAACTCGCTACACTCAAGAACCCACTTTAAATCCCGGGGACCGTGGCTGAAACTTGGAATTCCAACGCAAGGGATTTCTGCACTGCCAGTTCAGCACTGCACGACTTCTGGCCGGCTCAATTTTTGCATAACGTGCCGTTGGGATGAATGTTTAAATCATCCTCATTCATCCTGAAGCACGGAAAAGCAAAGAAACACAAAATACACCCAACGCATGGAAAAATTTTCATAACGCAAATCGGACATAACGCGATCAAACGGAACTCTCATTGCACAAGTGGGAATAAGCAGTTGCGCGGCTGCCTGGGCATAGGATCATCATCGCCCAAGGCATTGGGATCATGCTGGATGCTTCTAGATGCTACCCATGCACCTCCAGTCTTGGTTCGGCCCTGCGTTACACATCTCGCACGTTATCGTGGACTGTGCTTTACCCCCTATATTACATATTTATTATGACGTGATTGTTCCATATAACGCAGCGTTCTTCAGGAACACAACTACGACTGCTACTGTCCTTATAGAACAGACTGTCATGGAAAATTCTAGATTTAAAGCTTTCGTGACTGCAAGGATCCATACTCTTTGGTTCTATTCGGTAAAGTCACGAAGGTAAAAAATAAAACAAAAATCACGACGTTTCAGCCACAACACAAGCGGCCTTCATCAGGTGAAGGGATCAGGCTGTCTCGAGGACAGCGCTGCAGTGAAACACAGCCACGCTCAGACCGCGACCTTTAAGCTGTGTGCGAGGAAACAAGGTGCCTTGACAAAGGAATTAGCATAAAAATTAGCATTTGATTGGCCGACTTAGCATAGAGGTGGTGTACATGTGGGTGCACATGCCGGTTGGCGCGGGGGGGGCGTTTACATATTGATGGTGTGAAAAGGGAATTTAAGAGCTGCGAAAGTTTGGGGTACCACTACTTGAAAAATATACTGTACCATTGAAAATTAGTTTAATGTTTGGTTCGATTTAGAACATCTTTCCAATGGTTGCTTAATTTGAAACCATCTTCTCGGTTGAAATTGTGTCTGTGTTTGTAGATCTGAATTGCCTCGTGAACAAATCTCTGATAAAAAAAAACCCGTGGGTTTGCAAAGAACCTTGGTATCGAAGAAAATTATATCGTGATTACCCACAACGCATTGTGGGTGATCACGACGTTGTGGGTGATCACGATATAATTTTCTTCGATACCAAGGTTCTTTGCAAACACACGGGGTTTTTTTTTTATCAGAGATTTGTTCACGAAGCAATTCAGATCTACAAACACAGACACAATTTCAACCGAGAAGATGGTTTCAAATTAAGCAACCATTGGAAAGATATTCTAAATCGAACCAAACATTAAACTAATTTTCAATGGTAAAGTATATTTTTCAAGTAGTGGTACCCCAAACTTTCGCAGCTCTTAAATTCCCTTTTCACACCATCAATATGTAAACGCCCCCCCCCGCGCCAACCGGCATGTGCACCCACATGTACACCACCTCTATGCTAAGTCGGCCAATCAAATGCTAATTTTTATGCTAATTCCTTTGTCAAGGCACCTTGTTTCCTCGCACACAGCTTAAAGGTCGCGGTCTGAGCGTGGCTGTGTTTCAATGCAGCGCTGTCCTCGAGACAGCCTGATCCCTTCACCTGATGAAGGCCGCTTGCGTTGTGGCCGAAACGTCGTGATTTTTGTTGTTTTATTTTTTACCTTCGTGACTTTACCGAATAGAACCAAAGAGTATGTCATGGAAACCCTATCGCGAAACACTCCGACTGCGTGGCGTTTTTTGCGGTTTGTGCGGTGTAGCTCGGGAGAAGCACGCGAAGCGATAGGCAAGACATCGGAGCGAATGATGCACCATGTGTGGTACGCATTGCAAAGTGGACCGGAGAGCAGCAATCACCATTACCATCATGTCGTGAAAACCGGATGTCGGATTGACGATTCCTATTTACTATTTTTTCATTATTTTTAAAAAATATTTATCTATATTTTACCAGGTAAGGCCCCAACTGTGCTTATGTAGCTCTTTTTCCCAAGTGACCCGGCGATTACAAATGATAGCCTGACAAAGTGGCTCATCATAATCACGTGGAAATTTAAAATCAGCCGAATAACTCTAAATTGCGTGATGTCGATTCTAAATGTGGAGGACTCGGAGAAAAATCCACGCAACCACGTGGAGAGAGAGAACACACAAACTCCAAATACACAGCAGGCGTCAGGAGTTGGAATCAATCTCAGACTTCCTGTATACCAGGCGAGGTAGTTAACATATCCTAGCCACCGTATCAGGTCGCATCGTGAGAAACGACATGGTGGCAACCTTTCTCACACAGCAGAACCCTCACCTCATCCACGAGTACTTCGCGCTGGGATTGGCGTCGGCACGACAGCTGAGAGTGACCTTGGCGCTTCCCTCTTGCATGGGGCCAGTGACTCCACTGACCGTCACCTCCGGCTTGTCTGCAAATGGTAGAATACGCAAACTTTCCCACGTCACTACTACTTCTGTAGTGTTTCTGTGTTGTTTGTTATTGTTTGTTGTTGTAAACGTGCTGACTCTGTGCCCTGTACTGGACACCTGCGAAAAAGAGCTTCGTAGCTCATCGGATTCCTCCAGTGTAAATATTCTGATTCTGATTTGGCCAAATTTGGACCACAAAAATTTACCTGCAAATTTGCTCAACTGGGATTCCACGCACACAGCAGTAACATCACCCCCCTCCCGCCCACCACTGTGAAACTACTGCAGACTATATCTGTGAAACATCGCGCAGTCCTACATGATGGTCCTGAACATCATAAACGGTGCGAACACCAACGATTTGCTACATTCTTTTTGTTATTTTAATTTACTGCATGTCCGTCCAGTGCTCGTGGAGCTGCATTGGCTTCCGGTTGCTGACAACGAATACATGATTATAAGGTCGCACGACAAAGTGTTCGCCCCAAATGAACCACAATACCTCGTTGATCTCATCAAGGAGCACAAACCATCATCACGTGATCTCCAGTGGTCATCCTCGCAGCAGCAGCAGCGGCTATCGGCTAAGCCATCGAACAAAGACGGTGGTCACCGTATCGTGCGCTTTCAGATTTCCTTCTGCGGCCGTCTGGAACGCTCTTCCTTCCGATATTAGGAAGCCACTGGAGTTATGCATTTTAAAATCTAGATTGAAAACGAATTTATTTAAAAACATCTTTTTGGCGTTTGTTGCCCTTCCCCCCGCACCTTCGATTAGCATGGTTGGCTTCGTACGGTGCGTGAAAAAAGTTCAATATACTTACATAGATTTAAGTGGAGCTTTAAAAACTAACCCATTGTCAGGGATGGTAAAATACCTGGTACATCTCAAGTGTGAAACGATTTCATCGCCCAGTACTGACGGACTAATTTGCCATTTGTAGGCCAGCACTGAATACACCTTGTGCCACATAGCGACAGCTGCCACTGGGGGTCCCCAGCAGTGTTCAAACGCAGGGATTAAGTTTGGGTACCCCCACCTCTTCCAAGTCATCTGGTTTGTGTGGAAGAGTAGGCCAAGTTTCTCTCGAGTGGGAGGGAGGTCCTTATGTCAGCAGTGGTTTGAGCAAGCAATTGCAGGGCTGTGCCTTTACCCCTTATTATCCGTATGCAGTGGTACATTGTCTTGTGCTTACCAATACTCTGTAAAAACTATAAACTAAATTATTTTTATTTTACCAGGTAAGGCCCACTAAGCTACATCGCTCTTCTTCAGAATCAACATAGCTATCACAGATTATAGTTCAACGAAATTGCTTATCACCATCGCATGGAAATGAATAGCAGTCAAATAACTTAAACGCGTGGTGATGGTGATTCTAAATATGGAGGGGAAAAATCGGAGGATCCAAAGAAAAATCCACGCGACCATGGGAGGAGAGAGACATGCACATTTTCAAATTTCCAGCAGACATTAGGGGTCTGGATTGAACCCACGACCTCCTGTATACCAGACGAGGTAGTTAACATCTCCTAGGCAATACGGTGTGGTAGGAAACACCACTCACAGTGCACATCGAGAGCGACGATTTTCTCGATCCGATTGACATTCCCAGGCTGCGTCACGACGCACGCGAGCGACGCTTTGTGCATCTCCTTCGTCGGCTCCAACCGCAGCTCCCGCGTCACGCTGATGGTGCCATTTTTGTGATCGATGATGGTGCCCGCGTCAACCTTCATGGCGTCAAAGTGAAAGTGGCTCCCCGAGACGTTCTTCAGGGTCCAGGCTACACTCGCCGCGGGGTTCCCGTTGGCCGCTACGCAGGTCGCCGCCAGCTGAGACGCGCCGCCACCGGACACCAAGGGAGCCGGGCCCAACGCCAACGTCACCTCTGGCGTCACTGAAACAATGGCGACGCAAGGCGGCGGAGGTCGTGAGCACAGTGTCTGGGTTTGTTGTCGTCTCTGTCCGTAATATCACCGTCGTCGCCGTCGTCATTGTTGTCGTCGGCTATTGCCAGGTGGCTCGGTGGTGGAGCGGCTGGTGATCTGAAAGGTTGCGAGTTCAAAACCTGGTTGTGGGTTTCACTCAGCCCACCATTCCCTCGGGGGTCGATACAACATATACCACTTTGTGGGCGAGTCAGTGGCGGTTGTCACGTGGATGAACTCAGCCCTGCCCTAAAAATGTGGATTTTTTTTCGCCACTGGCTCTGCAGGTCTGTAGACTGGAGATTAGCACCGCCTCTCAATGCCGATTCCAGTTGGTAATTCCCATCATGACTAGGGCTGTGGATTTCGTGGAGTCATTCTCTTCGTGAAATTATGTTATTAGATTATAATATAATGAACTTAGTTTTATAAAGTATATTTAAAATGAGGATTCTCAAAGCGTTGCACTTGTTAAAAATTAACGATGTTGACACTGACACACCTGGAAAAACCCAATCAAAATAACAATAAAACCAAAAGATAAAACCGAAATGAAAAATATATAACTGATTATTGGTGGAAGCCAGGGAAGTTACTATAAAAAAGGTTACAATATCCAAGAAGTCCAATATCCAAGAAGTCCAGAAAAAATACAAAAAGCTTTTGAAGAAAAATCATCTTTTCATGGTTGATTGTTTTACAGATATATATAAAAATGTTTAATTCAACATCCCTCCTCACATCATTAAATTTCAACATCCTGACCTTCTGGACGGTTTTTACCAGGGGTCACGTTTTAAAAAAGAAAAATGTAAAAATAAACCCCCAAAGATGAAGTGGCTGGGGTGTACCCAGAGAGTCGGGAGACACTCAGCCAGCATCGCTTGAGAGCCTGGGATTAAAATTCGAATCCAGTATCAGCTGCCACAACCCTGCTTAGACCAGGTGGCCCGGGTGACTTAGAGAGTTACACACACTCACTCTCTGGTCTGGGTACCACTGCTCTGGACGGCTAGGTTATTGTTCTGGACTCAGGTGTTTAAGACTGGTCTAAGGTTGTAGGAATGGATCCCATGTACGTGTGTTGTATTCTTCTTCCTTGTCTGAGATTTTCGATGAGATAGCTCCAGTGCTGAGATTGGGGCCTGAATGAATTCACCCGTTGAGTATGGGGGAGGCGGGAGGATCGTGATTCTTTCACTAAACTCGATGTCGTTTTCCTGGCCCGCTAACTTGATAGTCCTAAATAAAAAGCTCTTGCCGTGTCAGTCCCCCTTTTCGGGGTTGGTTTAAAAGAACCGACGGAGTCAGGGCTCCAGATGTTGTTGGGGAAAAGCTCCCCACAGCCTTGGGGCATAGCAGCATGAAAGCCAGCCATTCTTACTTGTTACATGTTGGTGTTGGAAAATCTGACTTATATGCTTTTTTTATTTATTATTTAGTGACTTTTTCACCCTTTTTTAATCATATTTTTGCACTCCTGTCGTTGTAACCCGTGCCCCACTTTCATATTCCACTTTCCTGTGGCAGGGCACAGAATGTTCGTATTTTATTCAACAACTGTACATGTCAAATTTCGATTTAAAGCTTTCGTGACTGCAAGGATTCATCTTCTTTGGTTCTTTCGGTAAAGTCACGTAGAATGAGAATAAAATAATAAATAGATAAAAGAAAATAACACAATAATATTCTTACGACGTTTCGGCCACAACACAAGCGGCCTTCATCAGGTAAAGGGACGAGACTGTCTGGAGGACAGCGCTGGAGTGAAAAAGCCACGCTCAGATCGCGACCTTTAAGCTGTGTGAGAAGAAACAAAGCGCATTGAGAAAGGAATTAGCATAGAATTTAGCATTGAAATGGCTGAGTGATTAGCTTGTGACTGGTCACAGAAATGGCTATGTTAAAGTTAAAGTATACACATCCGTAGAGGCACCCCTTGACAAAGGAATTAGCATAGAATTTAGCATTGAAATAGCTGAGTGATTAGGTTGTAACTGGTCACAGAAATAGCTATGTTAAAGTCAGAGCATAACCATTCACAGAGGCACCTAGTACAAATCAAACAGGAGAATTTATCATTGAAATAACTAGGCGAATTTAGCATTGAAATAACTGAGTGATTAGCTTGTGACTGGTCACAGAAATGGCTATGTTGAAGTCAAGGCCTACACATCTGAGCTATTCACAGTAACTGGGTATACACTACAATATATAATGAATACTATATAGTGAACCAATAAAAAACTAAAATATAAATTACCTCAATGTTATCAATAAACTCTATATATTCTCCAATCAGCTAAGCTACCAACAATAAGTCGTTATATATCACAATGCTATATGGCGAAAAAATGGGTAGATTCTTACCCTCAACTTAAGCACCACGGATAGCTACGAGCCCCGTTCAAACGGACGAGTTCATCCATGGTCGGAACAGAGGAGGGGGAGAGAGACAGCTGCGAGGCGCTGTTATACTCCATGTTGTAAACCATACCATTAACCGTGGTATGAGAGGTATTATGTGTCAATGCCAGCGAAAGAGCAGCGGTCTGAAGGTCATTGTAAAATACAATTAATTAAGAACGGAAAAAAACTGTACGTGTCATTATTTCTACGATGTTTGTTTGTGAGTCTCAATACCCTATTTTCAGGAGGGTGTGGCCACGGTGGCGAGATGTTAACTACCTCACGTGCTATACAGGAGGTCGTCTGGCCCACCCCTACTGGACGTTTGTGAAAGGAGAGCTTCTTCTGTGGCCTCAGTAAAATATTCTGAACAATGACATGAACTACTTTCTTTTCTCGTTAACCTCGTCAACGAAACGAACCACTTTGCTACCGATTGAACTCACCGACCACGATGAGGTTGATCTTCGCCTCCAAAAGCCCTGTCATTGTCATGAATTTGCAGATGTAGGTTCCGCTGTCCGAGGCACGCAGCGTGCGGATTAAGATGGTGGCATCGTTGTTTCCTTGGCCAAGGAAAGTCAGGCGCCCTTGTAACGTAACATCAAACACGTGACTTTTATCATCATGGCGACTTGCTATGTACACACTCTCTTGATTTGTTTCCTTTTCCCACATTATCTGTCTGGCGGTCTTGCTTCCCTTGTAGACGCAGCGCAGCTTCGCGTCTCCTCCGCTCCCACCGGACGCTTCACTGTCGTGGTCGATCTTCGATGTAACACTCTGGGCACCTGCACAGGCAAAGGGACAAAGACATACATATACACACACATATACACATACATATATACACACATATATACAAAGACATGATCACATACACACAAAGACATAAACACATACACACAGAGACATATACACAAAGACAAAGATATCCCCCGCGTAGCCTACACGGCGTATTGGGACAAGTGCTCTCAGCCAGCACACAAAGATATATACATACACACAAAGAGATACACACATACATGCACACATACATACGCACATACATTTACGCAAAGAGATACACACATATATGCACACAAAGACATACATACTTACAAATGGATACACACATACAAAGACATACACAAATACATACATACACACAAAGGCAAATATCCCCCGTATAGCCTAAACAGGGTATTGGGACAAGTGCTTTCAACCAGCACACGAAGACATATACACACAAAGAGATACACACAGACATACACAAACATATACAAAGACATACACACATACATACAAAGACATACAATCAAAGACATACATACACATATACATACAAAGGCAAAGATCCCCCGTATAGACTACACGGCGTATTGGGACAAGTGCTTTCATCCTGCACACAACCGCCGTTCACCACGAAGTGGCGGTGACGTCACCACGGCGTTTGTGCCAGGCCAGGTAAAACGTTTAGGCCATCACGTGAAGTTTCGAAAGCTCGCAGCTAGCAGGAGTTAATGGGACAGACCCAGACGTTTCAGGCAATGGGCGTCCTCCATAGCGCATACATTTGTTGTTGAGTGCGACTAAGACGTTGGAGTTTTTAGCTGCTCTTGTACAACGCAGCAGCAGCATCACCACCACCAAATAATGAATTAAACATGGAGCATGCTGCTCTGGGCATATTGAGCAAGCCATCATCTTTCGACATTTTCCATCCCAAGGAAGAAAGATAAAAAAAACAGCTGACGAACTTCAAACCTGTCACTTATTGTCTTCAGTTTATAAAAAAAATAAATGTAACGTTAAGGTAAGACGTGGAATAAATAGAGAAACCTCTGTGTACCCCTACCAGCCCTATCCCTTGTCAGCTGTGCACTCATTTTTTTTATTTATGTTGAAAAGTCATTTCTTTATAACTACCTTTTTGTATTAGTTTGTTGTCCTTCCCCCGCACCTCCTATTAGGGCGGTTGGCTACGTATGGTGCGAAAGAAGTTCAACATACCTACATTAGCGTGTATACACATGGGGAGTGGTGGAGGAACAGTTAGCGCACTGCACTATGAACCCGGCGACACGGGTTCGATTCCCGCTCATGGCCAACACCAGTGACGATCATCTGAACCGTTCCTGGGCGCTCCCCTAGATCGACTCAGCCTCAAAAGGGTGCCTGATGTGATGCATAACACCACTGCAACTCGGGAGACAAAGGTGGCTGGGCATGGAGTTGGCCACCCACCCTCTCGTGTGCTGTGACGGCCTTCATAGGTGCTCGCTAACAGCACTTGCCCAAAGAGTTTTAAGGCTATACAGGGGATCTTTATATTTTGGTTGTATACACACCGTGTGTGTGTGTGAGACAAAGGCACTCAGGCGTGGTGCTGGCCGTCCAAACCCTCATATGCTACAGGGCCCTAATAGGTGCTCGCTAACAGCAATTGCCTCAACAGTCTATTCAAGGAGATACGGGGGATCTTTGTATACACAGGAGGAAGTCGTGGCGCAGCAGTTTGCACACTCGCTACGAACCCAGCGACCCGAATTCGATTCCTGCTCACTGCCAACATCGGTGATATCGGTCACAGCGGCGAGACGTTAACTACCACACCTGGCATAAGGAGGTCGTGGGTTTCATCGCGACCCTGACGTCTGCTGTATATTTAGAGTTTGCGTGTCTCTCTCCCCGTGTGGTCCTGTGGATTTTTTCTCCGGGTCCCTCGGGTTTTCCCTCCATGTTTATAATCGACGTCACACGTTTAGAGTATTTTGCTGCTGCTTTAAATTTCCACGTGATGATGATGATACGCCACTTCTTTCAGCTACCATTTGTGATAGTCTGGTCACTTCTTAACAATAGCTGTATAGCTTGGTGGGCTTGCTTGGTAAAATGATATATATATGTACTGTTCCTGGGCCCTGCCTTGGCCGAATTGACCTTAAATGAGTACCTGGTGTGGTGTAGGTACGTAAAAACTGGAGGGACAAAGGGGACCGGGCGCGGTCCTGGCCACCCACCACCCCCTCGTGTGCCACATCGGCCTTCATAGGTTTCTACTCGCGAACAGAACTTGCCCCAACATTCTGTTAAGGCTATAGGGGGGATATTTGTCTTTACGTGCGAATACATAGTGTGCCGATGTGGTTGGATATGTGTGTCCGTGTATTTGTGTACACGAGTGTACTACTAAGAGGTGGGGTCCTTACCATCAGCCCCACCAAATTTGGGTATTTTTTGTGGCACCAAAAACTCCATCACCTCAACTCCCCATTGGCGATGGTGCAGCTGTGGAGAGAGTGGAGAGGTTTCCATATCTGGCTCAGTGTGCTTATGGACCAGCTCCGGTTTGACGGCAGAGGTCTCAGTCCGAATCAGCCGAGCAGCATTTTCTCTTAATCGATTGCGTAACGCTGTGTGGAAGCTACCTGGTCTGTCGCTCCACACGAAGCTTCAAGTCTTCTCGGTTACACTTAATGTCCCACCCTTCTCCCCGCATCCATCCTGGGTTTCACCAGACTGTATTGTGTGAGGAGCTCACAGATCCTGGTATAAATCTGGACACAGTCCCATCGGTGAGATACTCTGCTAGGCAAGGCTGCGTTAGCTGTGTCATGTAGCCCGAATGCCCAGCCACTGCATGTCCAAACAGCTTCTGTTTGGCCAGATAGATGGGGGCTAAACGGGAGCGCCACGGTGTGCAGAAGAGATGGAGTAATGTGGTACTGGAGGATGTGGGAGCTGAGTGGACTTGCCAATAACTGGTACCAGCGGTGTCAAGATCGGCCTCTGTGGAGGAGGCTCGTGATGGACGCTGCTGGGCAGTTGGAGGCAGTCGTCCTCCAGCAACAACGGAGGGCAAAGGAGCGACGCTCACAACAACGAGCGGAGCACCGGGCGGGGTAAAGTGCAACAAGTTGGCACACTAGGGGGCACAGCTGGTGCATATGCCAGTCATCTCAGTCAACCCATGGCACCTGCAGGATCTGTCCCGTGACCTCTTGTCAGCAGCGAGGTTTTTGACAACTTCACGTGGCCTCAAGGTGCACCTGGCCTGGCACCAATAGAACCGTGGTGACGTCACCGCCACTGAAGTTACGAATGGCGGCCGCAGTTGTACGCGCGCGTCCGAATATTGATGGGACATTTCAAAACTGTGAAGGAGGCGTAAGTGGCTGCTTCTGTATTTTAGATCAAGACTTGGGTTAGAGGAAATTAGTCAACGTGTGGCATTTTACACGAATAAAAATGCAACTTCCATTTCCATGTTCTGCCTCCCTACCCCCGCATGTGACCCGTTCACTTCCTCTAACGAAGCAGGATATATAAAAAAAAGAGGTAGAAACCTTGTTCTTCAATGCATACTTTTATTTACACTTAAAAGTAGAAAATTAATTATTATGACTCCAAAATTTATCAAATTTGATGTGCTGAATATAAGTGAGTGGCTTCCTTTTCATTTTTACTTTTCTTTATGCAAGCCACCCACTTTATTCCGCATATCAAATTTGATCAACTTTAGGGTCACAATAATGTATTCTCTACTTTTGAGTGCAAATAAAAGTGTGTGCATTGAAAAAATAGCTTTTTACCTTATTTTTTTCAGTGAAAACTATTGTAACTATTTAACTGCTATTTTATTTTACCAGTGAAGACCCACTAGAGCTTTATAGCTCGTTTTCAGAAGCGACGTGGCCACAAATGATAACTCAATGAAGTGGCTTAAACTGTGGAAATTAATAGCAGCCAAATTCCTCGGAGAACACGTTTCTAAATGTGGAAGGAAACCCCGGAGGACCTGGAGAAAAATACACGCGACCACGGGGGGAGAGGGAGACACAAACTCCAAATATAAAACAGGGGTGAGGGTCGGGATCGAACCCACGACCTCCTGCATACCAGGCGACGTAGTTAACATCTTCGAGCCACCGTTAGTCTGGTAGGCAGGCACACAAGTGATTCGGTAGGTAGCTAGACAACTCCGTAGGTAAGTAGTTAAGGTACGTCGTTCTGCAAATAAGCCGTCCGGTGTGGTCGACAAATCCCTGTGCAGCTGCGACCCCACACAACGCAACACACCTGAAGCGAGTGTCACGGTGAATAGGGCATTTGTCTTTAAATCGACATCTGAAAAACTGATAGCAAACTCACCCAGAGTTGCAGACAGGAGGAGCAGCAGCTGGACGGCTATCATCACACGCTGTACAAAGCAGAGTGTTTCCATGCTCGCACGTCCGCCTTTGTCTCTCCTCTCTCCAACACCAGCACACACAGACACTAGAAGTCACTCGCTCGCTCGCCTTTCTCTTGGCTCTCACTTTGTATGCAAGGAGGAGGGGGAACGAACAATCGAAGCGGGGAAGAGGCCACGTGACGTGGAGGAAATTATTCCCCGGTTGAGTAATCGAAAGATATAGATTCGCTCCAAAAGTAATTACAGTGATCATGATCAATGTCGATGTTAATGTTGATGGTGCTGATGATGATGGTAGTGATGGTGATTAATGTTGATGTCAGTGGTGATGGTGCTGATGATGATAGTGATGGTGATTAATGTTGCTGCGAGTTGTGATGATGGTGACGGGTAGTGGTGATGATGGTGGTGATGTTAATGGTAACGATCAAATTACCGTTTCTTATTTCTGACATATCCTTACAGCTGTTGCACAGTTGACTCCATGCCTCCAAGCTCTGCTATAATTTTTCCCCACCACCATCTGGGTACTACGGTGGTGAGATGTTAGCTACCTCGCCTGATATTCAGGTGGTTGTAGGTTCAATCCCGATCTTGACGCCTGCTGTATATTTGGGGTTTGCCTGTCTCTCGCGTGGATTTGTATCCGGGTCCTCCGGGTTTCCTGCCACGTTCACAATCAACCTTACGCATTTTACAGTTTTTTGGCTGCTATAAATGTCCACGTGATGACGATAAGCCACTTCATTGAGCTATCATTTGGGACGTCGAGGTCGCTTCTGGAAAAGAGCAATATATAGCTCAGTCGGGCTTTAACTTGGAAAATAAAAATAGTTAAATAGTAAATAATATAAATGGCAATCTTGATTTGAAGCTTTTGTGACTGCAGGGATCCATACTCTTTGGTTCTTTCGGTAAAGTCACGTAGGTATAAAATAAAATATATCACGACGTGAGAAATTAGCATGTAAATGTAAGATCGGAGAGCGGCCTCCTCGACGAGGACACAGAAGTGGCTATATTAATGTGATAAATTAGCATGCTAATAATGCTTTCCCACCTGATGACGGACATTTGTGTTGTGCCCGAAACGTCGTGATATGTTTTATTTTTTTGAGGTTTCTACACGAGTAGAACGTGGGGTTTCTTCACGAGTATAAATATTCAGGTTTACACATTAGTAGATATATTAAGGTTTCTACATGAGTAGAAAGTGGGGTTTCTACATGAGTAGAAATATTGAGGTTTATACTTGAGTAGAAATGTTGAGGTTTCTACATGAGTAAAAATATTGAGGTTTACACATGAGTAGAAATATTTCCAAATAAGACTTTGAATCAGGAACAAGTGTTCTGACCAAAGTGAACTGTCGACATATGACGTATGAAACGTTTAGCAAACAATTTCGGTCGAATTGAGCAAGCCATCATGTTTGACATTTTCCATTCCGAGGAAGAAAAAATAAAAAAAACCCAGATGACTAACTTAACATCTGTAACTTTTTTTTTATGTTTTTCGTTTATGTATTAAAAAGTGTAAATCGAGAGAAATCCCCGTCTGTTTACCCCCCTACCAGCCCTATCCCTGTCAACTGTTCAACCCCTAGCGGTCCTATATACTAAAGCCATATATACGCAAGCCATATATGGCGCATGATGAGAAACATTGTCTCCATGGAAGATCTACAACTGGTTAGCGGCCGTCAACCCCACATTGGCGTGAACACTTTTAAACTCGCTGCTGAACTGTCCCTCTTTGGTAGCGCCCAGTGTTTATCGACGGCCTGCCACAAGCTACGATCATTAACATCATCATCGAGTGAGATAGACCTCCACGCTTGATCTGGCCAAGGTCAATAAAGCCATGCGTCAAAACACAACCTGGAAAAGCATGTGGACTCAGAGAGAATCCCACCTGTTGAAGTCTACAACATATCTTAAACTAAACAAACATTTTTTTTTACCAGGTAAGACCCACTGAGTTATGTAGCTTTTTTTCAGAAGCGACCTGGACTTTAAAGATGCCCAGATTGTATATACAAGAAGAAGGGTGACCATTCCAATTGTCACAATTGCCGTGGTATCTCACTTCTTAATAGTACTGCTGGAAAAATTCTGGCAAGTGAGTGTTGTGTTTTAATATACATCTCATAAATATCGCGTTTTGTATGTACATTATTTGCATTATAAAGCTTTATTGAACACTGCATCACGCCCCAAAGTTAATATATGTTTATTTTGTAAATGTTGATATACGCTGAAAAATGAATTAAGGAACCTAATCGAGACAGAGAAAGGGGAACCACACAAAACAGGAAATATGGGCACATTTAAGAAAACTTTTTCTTGCAATAACATTTAAATGGCGTGTCACCATGCGTCTCACTAGAAGAATAATCATGACTGGACAAGACCGATCTTATCACGCCACCGTGGGCTGCCACAGTAGCTAGGAGATGTTTACCTCGCTTGGTATACAGGAGGTCGTCAACTGAGCATTGTCCTTTGTCAACGTGACACATTTTTTTACTGAATGGCCGTGTCGGGTGGTGGAGGGTTGCGACACATTTATAAATAACGCGGTCTAACCCGAAAACCTTTATTATGAGGTCGTGGGTTCGATCCCGACCCTCACACCTGCTGTATATTTGGAGTTTGCGGTGTATTTCTCCCCATGGTCACATGGACTTTTATCCAGGTCCTCTGTTTTTTTCCTCCATATTCAGAATCAACGTCACACGTTTAAAGTTTTTGGCTGCTATACATTTACACGTGATGATAAGCTACTTCGTTGAGCTATCATTTGTGTTTAGGCAGGTCGCTTCTTCAGAAGACAGCTACATAGCTCAGTGGGGCCTTACCTGGTAAAATAAAAAAGGTTAATTATTTGTGGAATGACGAGCAAAGGAGAAAGAGAAAATGTGCCCTCGAAAGCATGACTACCATGGAGGTGGTGCGATAGGAATCGGGCTAACGTGCCGATTCCAATCTCGCACAATCTCCGTTGTGGCATTGCAGGGATTTGGAGCAATGGCAACATCGTACATTTGTGACTTCCACGTCGACTTCTGAAGATTTGACAGATTTTCTGGTGATGCTGCTATTGCTGCATCGGCAATAAACTAAAACTAAAAATTATTTAGTTTTTATTTTGAAAGGTTAGGCTCAACTGAGCACTGCAGGACTTTGAGTTATGGCGATATCGTTGGGGGGAGGCTGGATTTATCTAACAGTTGATAGAGCAGGGCATTATGATAATGGATCATTCAGATATCTAAGGTTATTTGAAAGAGTATCACGCGGTTGAGGGAACGTAAATTACAGACCCCTAGGTCGACTCAGCCTCAAATGAGTACCTGGTGCGGTGTGTAAACATCATGGCCACTGGGGGAGACAAAGGCGGTCGGGTGTGGTGCTGGCCACCCACCCCCTCGTGTGCCGTGACGGCCTTCATAGGTGCTTGCTGAAAGCACTTGCCCCTACAGTCTGTTAAAGCTACACGGGCGATGTTTGTCTTTGTCCGCGAGATGTTTGCACGATTAAATGATTAGCTGGTGATGCTGCTGCTAGGGTGGCAATGGTGCACAATCAATAATGAACAAAGGCACGCTCAACACGTTTGTCAATCACACTGCGTGGGACTTAAAAAAAAGCAATTGGTAGTTAATTAATTATTCGTGGGGGGGAGGTGGCGCCGGATTCTCAAAAACGCCGGATGATCACTTTAATAATGATTTAAAATACCAAATTTTTGCACATTCTTGTACTACATATTTTTTAGGTGTTTTGTGCATATATTTTCGTGTTTTACATTTGTTTACTATATAAAATTGGCATAAATATACATACAAATAGACAAAAATAAATGTCCTACTTTAATAAGTTGCTGTATTTACCGTACCGTACTTGCCACTCCAATCTCGAAGACTCTGTGTAATGGGGTGATGTTCGTAGTACTACTACGCTGTTGTTCAAACAACTTGTGTTTGATGATAGCCGGACTGATGCAGCTTTTAGACTGGTGCTCTTGCGAACGCTATATTACACGCACTTTTCACAGGATCGCACTGCGTACATTTTGTGTTTTATAACCGGAGTTATTCGTCAAGAAAAATGTATACACGCGCAGCCATTTCCATTGTTTAAGTTGTATGAAGTGTTTAATGTACCGCATGTAATATTTGACACTGAAATCAAGCATCGCTACTTTCTTTTGACACGCACACGGTGCTGATCGCCGGACTGGGTTACAGCCTTGGGAGCGGTTTCGCCGGATCTGCCAGGGACCGCTGGATAATGTTGGAAGCCAGATAATCGGTGATCAACTGCATTTGAGTTTCTATTGAAAACTCACCTCTTCAAACTGGCCTTCACACCCTGGTTCTGTTCATTTCCTCCTTTCCATACACGGCGACATTTGGATATATATACAGATTAAATGCGCCTTGGCAATGTAAGTTGTTATTATCATTATTGTTATTAACTGAACACAGTACATGACATAGGTCCCTCCCTGAGCTTGGCCAGTTTGAGTCGGGTGGCGAGTGATGGAGAACGGTGCAGGGTTGGATTGCAGATCCCCGATATTCGTTTTTTTATCATAAAATATCAGTCTCGGCATTTATGCCACCGATGTGCCCCGGATGTTTTATGCGTATAGAATGAACCAACGAAAAAAATCGCTTCTTGTTTCCTGTAAATGTTATGTTTGCCAGTTGGTGTGGCTAGTTTGCCACCACCACCTCGTGGGCCACAGTGCCGACCTTCATAGGTGCGAGCTAACAGCACTTGCCCCAACAGTCTGCTCAGGCAAGACCATACCTGGCAACCCATACGATTTACCCGTATTCTTGTACAGGGAAATTGAGTTCAGGTCTATACGGTGTACAGCCGTTTCAATATTGGCAAAAGTAACATTTTGTCAATTTGTATATGTTTCTCCATTGTGATGGGACTTTGACAGATGAACGTTGAGATTTATAAGGACACGGGGTGACCAATCAGGTCTGAATTGATCTGTAATAAGTTAGGCGCTGATAAGGGCTTGATAAGTATGCAATACGGGGGGTCTTTGTCTTTGTATTGCTATTTGCTAAAGGATTCGGAAGAGGGAACTCTGATACTCTAAGCGTGAGGTGG